CTCTAGTGAGTATCATAGCCTAGTAGGTAGAAATATTAATAATTATTCCTATATGCGCACGCTTTATCTCGCTACTCTTATTCATATTTTCTCGTAATATTTCCATCGTTCGCGTGTAAATAGGCGAGATGATATGACTAAGAGATGAGCGATTTCGGAGTTAGTTGCGTCATTATTTTCCAAAGAAAAACACGTGCGAAGTTTTCATCGAGAAAAAATATATATATATCTCCGCGATGTGACATAATTACGCTCAGATCTGGTGGGAAAAGTTCTCATGCTACGAAAGAAGGGAATGCATGAGCAACAAACCTTTTGCAACAGAGTGGGTAGAAACTTTTAATAATTTACGTATACGCCTTCTCTCGCTGCTCTTATTCATATCTTCTCGTATTATTTCCATCGTTCGTGTGGAAATAAGCAAGATCATATGATTAAGGGGGAAACGATTTGGGGAAAACAGGCATATTACAGTAGAGCGAGAAATAATCATTTTCCGAAAAGAAGACATATAGCAATACGAGTTACGTGCGAATCACCTAGCGGAGAAGGGATCTATCAGAAGTGCGACAAAAACAATCTCGACATCATTTATCGAAAGTAGACATATGCTTTCAGCATTAGTGAGAGTCATTCACTTAGTGCGCATTTCTTAGTGAAGAAGAAGGAAAGAAAGAAAGAATCATGCGACTGCTCTTATTCATATCTTCTCGTAATGTTTCCATCGTTCGCGTGGAAACACGTGAGATCATATGACTAAGAGAAAAGCGACCAAAGGAAAACACGTGCGAGTTATTATTTTGTCGTACGAAGTTTTGAGCGAGAAAATAAACATATATTAGCGATGCGACATTTATTCTTATGTTACGAAAGAGAGGCAGGCAGGCATGAGCAACATTACAACATAGTAGAAATTTCAATAAATCAATGCATACGCCTTCCCTCACTACTCTTGTTCATACCTCCTCGTATTATTTCCATTGTTCACGCGGAAACAAGCGAGGTCATATGACTAAGAGGAGAGCGATTTCGGGGAATCATGCATATCACAATAGAGCGAGAAAGGATTTCTTTTCGAAAAGAAGACATGATGCGAGTTATGAAAAAAATCATTAGAAATGTGACTATGCACTCTCGCTTATCATGGACCTTATCAGAAAGCAAAAACAATTACGACATTGCTTATCGAACAAAAGCACGTGCTTTATAGCAATAATGCGAGTCGTTCACCTAGTGCATATTTTTCAGTGAAGGAAAAAAGTATCCATGTGATTACATACAATTGTCTATAGATCTAGGGAGTGAAACAATTATGACATCGAAAAGAAGACTTATACAATCATTATTGTGAGTCATTATCCTCGTGCGAAGTTCTCAAATGAAGCATCAATCCTAGTTTAAAAAATAGACTCCCATTTGTAACCATGCCTATTAACAGGTAGCATGCGAAGCTAGGGAGTTCGACTACGCAGATTCTTATGAAAAACGACAAGTAGTTGCCGCCATCAGTCGTACTGTGAAACATGTTCAAAGCAGACTATCCTACAAAAGATTGATAAAAAAAAATGTCAGAGATCCTCCGAGCATATCTAGATCATTGCCATGGGGAGCTGGGGTGAGGAGGAGGGACGAGGGGAGGAGAGGAGGGGAGGGTATGGAATAAGAACCCGCATGAAGCCTTTTACGAGACTTCAAGATGACGCATTTGTACACTTATGCCCGATTGGCCGAGTCGCGGGAGGGTGTGGCATATCCCTGAGGCCTTTCTGCTGCGCCACCTGCAGCTTCATCAGAGGGTCATCTCTCTCTTCCGGAGGATGCATGTGGAAGTGGGATGGAGGGGGAAACAAGAGGTTTTGTGGGGGGGTTCGGGGTGGTGGGTGTGGCGGAGGAGTGGTGCGCATTTGGAGGCGAAGGGGTGGGGGGTTGTGCTCAAAGTACTGCAGAATCGTTGCGCGTTCAGTGTTGCTACAGGGACATGCTGCGTGCGGTGGTAGAAGTTAGGAAACGATGAAGAAGGTGAATGCTAGGAATGCGAGAAAGGTAAAAAAAGCTAAGATACTGCATACTGCTCCTTCGTGCACTGCATTGCTCCCTTCCTTTTCCATCCTGCTAATGCTCACGTTCTGGCTGCTGCGAGTGTGGCAGTAATTAGGCTTATTGCATATACGCAAGAGCTAGCGGCTATTGCTATCAAGCTCGTTATGCCAACAAACGCGCTTAGATAGGCTGCTTGTTTCCTAAATGGTGCCAGCAATATTTTCTCCGATAAGCATTGTTTGAATAGAATGTCGAGGAGAAGCAGGTTCGGGATAAGCGCTAAGCAGAGGATCGCGGTGAGTGCGGCTATAAGCGCATGCGAGAGGATGGTTGCTTGCATGAGAGGCGGAAGAGAAGGGAAAAGAAGAAGGGGGTAAGTCGAAGGAGAAGGGGAAGGAGGCAAAGGAGGAGGACACTTCGGATAGTCGGGTATGTGGGACGGTGCCGGACACTCCATGCCTAACGACTTAAAGCAGTACCGTTTCCTGGTCGTGCACCTCTCTTCTGGCCGCGGTTGCGTCCAAGCCCAGAGGAAAGTCCATGGTTTCTGCCATCGCCTGCTGAAAATGATTCGTCCAGAAGATCGCCTGACACTGCTGACAGTGTTCTGCCTCCGAAATTGTCGGTTGATCTCCGCAATTCACTCTGACAATGATGCTTGGATTCACCAATCTTCTCGGCTAAATATTACTCCCTACCCTCTATTCGTTGTTCTCGGTACTGCTCTACGAAAAATAACCCCGCCATTTCGTTTGAATCGTCCACGGTGTTTCGTATCGAGGGTGCTGGTTCACTTTGATATCCCCCGAGGTGCGCACATATTAATTTTTGTCTGCTTCTGCCCCTTCTTTTCGGCTTAGTGCAGCTTGACTGGATAATAGCCTCACTCTGGACTTCGTTTTTTACGCTTCTGAAAAACGACAAAAACAAAAGGACAAAAAGAAAAGAAATCGAGCAAAAAAATTGGAAAGAAAAACAAAAAGAAAAGAAAAGAAAAAAAGAAAAAAAAAAGAAAAAAAAAAAAAGGAAAAGAAAAAGACAGAAAAAAATGCAAAGGAGGCATATCGCCATAGGAGGAGGGAGGGCCTGGGTTCGAATGACCATGCGAAAAAAATCGTGGGAGGACCAGTATCCTGGAGTTTTTCTGTTCTTCAGGGGGGTCTTTTTTTCTTCCGCTGGGGGTTGATCTATTCTCGCCCTGAGTCTTCTCTTGGGTTTCTCCCTCTAGTCCTGCTTCTTCGTCTGAGTTTGATCTGTGTGTGTGTGTGTGTGTGAGTGTGTGTGTGTGTGTGCGGGCACGTGGTGGGTGGCGGGGGGGTGGGGCGACCCCTCCCCCACCACTCAATCAATCAATCAATCAATCAATCAATCAATCAACGAAAAAAAAAAAGGCAAAATCGAACGAATCTTGCGCTACAAAATGGAAATGTACAATACTGTGTGTGTGTGTGTGTGTGTGCGCGTCTGTGGGGGGTGGGGGGGCGACCCCCCCCCCACCAATCAATCAATCAATCAATCAACGAAAAAAAAATAAAAAAAATCGAATGAATCTTCCGCTAGATCCTACATGTGTGTGTGTGTGTGTGTGTGTGTGTGTGTGTGTGTGCTTGTGGGGCCAATCAATCAATCAATCAATCAATCAACGGAAAAAGAAAAAAAAACCATGTTTTTATTTTTATTTTTTTAATACCGTCACTCACCCCCCCCCCCCCCCCCCCAAAGATTAGTTTTTTTTTTTTTTTTTTTTTTTTTTTTTTTTTTTTAACTAAATATAAAAATATTTTTTTTTTTTTTTTTTTTTTTATTTTTTTTTTTTTCCCCCCCCCCCCCCCCAAAAAAAATTTTTTTTTTTTTTTTTTTTTTTGAGGGGGTGGGGTTGGGGTTGCGCCGCCCCATGGCGCTTCCCAAATCCCCAACACCCGTCCCCAATGGCCGCAACACGTCCGCAAAGTTCCACGGACGGACGAACGCGAACCGCGGGGGTCGCGGACTCGGCCACGGCCGCGGATCGGCCGCGCTTGTCCACCACCGAGGGTGTTTCATAGCTGGTGGGGCTATCAGACGTGGTGAAGTTCCAACACATTCTGAAATACATACTCCATGGGCACCACCAGGAGGTATAGAAGGTGATAAATGCAGCCAACGGCAACTGGGCGAGATTCAAGGATGGAATGTTGAGGAAGTATAGGTTGTATGATGGTCTGCTGACCACTGCAGATTTGGAGGCGATGAACAGGGACGATTCTACCACAGTCGGGGCCTTTGTCCAAGAGTTTAAGAAGAAGGCAAGAAAGGTCCCTGGAATCTCGGAGGAAGCACAGTGTGCTATCTTCCTGGGACTGTTCACCGCTTTAGAAACCTCGGAATAAGTTATGGAGGAGGAAGTGCGAAGCTCACCTGGGCCACCATGGACAAGGAGGTAGAAGGAGGGAGTCTGGACTAGGTGGAACAATATCAAATGCGCCAGCAAAGGCTGAAAAGGAAGGAGCGAGATGCAACCTCCTCAGGGACCCCAGGGGTAAAAAGGATCGTTACAAATGTACTCGCGGAGTTGGGGTACGACAAAGACGTCGTGGTACAAAAGAAAGTGATGACAACGATCCAAGGGAAGGGGAAGGATCGAGTGGTAGAGGAGGCCATTGAGGAGGAATGGGAAGAAGAAGAGTTAGTGCCCCAGCACCTTTCAAAGGCGCTGCGCAAGCAGCGCAATTTAACGCAGGGAGGGCAAGGCTCCAAAAAGGGGCAGGCGCCCCAAGCATTGGTAGTAGCCTCGTTGAGTGCGTCGGCTCTATCCAGCAGTGCGGGACCCTCGCAAGCAATGGTACCACCATATGGGCAGTGGCCATGACCTGTGTTTAACACCTTCGTGCCATGGGGAGGTCCAGCTCCGTCTGGCCAGATGGTACCATACGCAAGGCCCCAAGTGAGTATGCCGCCGCCGAGCTATCCTGCAGCGCAGGCCCAGCCCATGGCACCACCTCCATCGCCCGTTCCAAGTTCACAAGGTAGCGTGGCAGGGGGAGGAAATCAAGGTTGGGGCAACGAGGGGAATGGAGGAAGAGGTGGCGGAAGAGGACGAGGCAAGAATGGCGGTGGCCGGGGTGGACAATGGGACAACCAAAGCTACCAAGGCCAACAAAGTCAAGGGAATTAGGGAGGTGAAGGATATGGAAGACCTCGTTTTGACTGGAGGACCGCTATTTGCCAGCATTGCGATAGGCAAGGTCATACGATACGGTTCTACAGTACAATACGAGAATATGAAAAGGCCAGACTAATGTATTCCAATATGGACGGTGATATATATGATTAGTACGGAGAGTATATCGACCGAAAGGTTCCAGGCGGAGTAAGGGCGGAGGCTCAGAGAAGGATAGTTGCACGACAAGCGTCACCCACCACGTTCAGGTTGTGGCAGGAAAGGGATGACCCACCAATAAGGGTGGAAGAGGTGGAAAATGATGAAAAGGTGACTCAGAGGCTATAGGCAGGAAGTATAAAGGAAGAGCGTATAGTCATTGAGTCAGATGGAGAGGGTGAGGATGAAAAGGTGGAATTGACGTCAATCCTTCGGGGAAAGATGGAGGACTTGTGGGAGAAAATGGGCCGATACCAGCGGAAGCTGGTAGGTATATACGAAGAAGTGAGGGAATGGAGGGCTCGTATCCCCGAAGTCTTCCTCTACGATTCTGGCCCAGACTCAGTACCAGGACGACAAGGCTACCTTGGAGTAGCCACTGTGGGATCAGGGCCTCGGTTTGGAATGACCTTCAGGCCCCCTACTGCACAAGGGAGAATGGCGCAAGCTGCACAAACTAGGGGCCAGAGTAAGGCAAGTGCCATCCGAGAACCTCCTCGAAGGGAGCCGGAGCCGGACAAAGGAAAGAGACCGTTGAGGTAGAGGAGGACGATGATGAGGAAGAGCACGATGAGAGGTTGCGCCAAGAGGAGGATCGAAGGGCGGAGCAACTTAAAAGGGCCAAGAAGAGGGGAGCCCAGGAGGAAGCCAAATCGATTATGCGCGATGCGACACCGAAGAAAAAGAAGTATGCGGTTTGGTTGGAGGAAGGGTTTGACGTAGAAAAAGTGATTGATAGGTTGCTCGAAGGTCATAATGACCTTGTCACCTTGAAGGAGATCCGGGCATCATCTCCCAAACTCCATAATGAACTAAAAGAGAGGTTTTCCCAGCGGTTGGTGCCAAATGTCCATCTAAGCGTGATTCTGTCAAAGGAGGCAGAATGGGTAGAAACTGGGACAAAGACGGACTGGAAGTGCGTGGCCTGCGGAATGGTAGATCTGGTGGTGAAGGGATCAAAGTGCGCAGCAATGGCAGATACAGGGGCAGAGATGAACATCATCAAGGAGGCTGATGTACTTACGTTTGGGTTGTAGATAGACCGCTCAGATTGCAGCATTCTGCACGGGGCCAATTGCAAGGTCGTATTTTGCGGAACGACGTCTAACGTGCTTATCGAAATCGGGAAAGTAAAGGCCAAAGCTTGCCCCTTTGTCATGGTGGACGTAGATCATGCTATCCTCCTAGGGAGGTCGTTCTTATGTAGGACAGAGACATTGATGTTCAACAAACACGACGGAACTCTGATCCTGATCCTGTGTGACCCGGCGTGAGGGAACTATGAGATAATTACTTGCCGGAACACAAGCCCGCAAAGCATAAGGAATCGGCCCAACCCTGGTTCATTCACGATTGAAGAGTCAGAGGATGAGCGTCGGAGGCTTCGTGAAGAACCAGAAGAAGAAGCACGGGTGGAGGTGTTTTCGCTCAGCCTATCCGATGTGAACAAGGTCATGAATGTAGTGGTTACTCACGATTTGGCGGATCTAGACGCCATTCAGGCACTGAGGGAGCAGGTCCTGGAATGTCCCCAGGCTGGGGAAGTGGAGCTGCTCTATCGGCTTCCTGGAGGAAGGAGGGACCCTTCAATGACGTAGGCGCAAGCGGTAAGCCGATTTTTTTTAAGGGACGACTCAAGCAGGGTTCCCAAAGGCAGTACAAGACGATACACAAGAAGTGTCACCCAGTTCCCGTTCTCGTCACAGAGGATGAGGAAATTTATTACGAGCAGGAATGAGGATTGATACGGCGAATGAGGGAGCAAGCGGCAGTTGGATCGTGCCGTATTAATGAAGGGAACGAAGGGAAGCTAATAGTGGGAGAGCCTGATTTCCTGTTACCCCATGAGAGGGTGTTGATGAAAGAGTTGATGAAGAAAAGGTATCGCGCCTATACTTTCGGTGATGATCAACACGGGAGATTGGACGTGGAAAACATCCCTATGATCTGGATCCATACCATGCCACATGAGCCGTGAAATTTGAGAGGGGCGCGGTATCCTAATCCTGACGAGGAGAAGAGGGTGGTGGGCTATCTCGACGGCAAGATACGTACACATGTCGCCAATTACTCGAGTGGGCCGTATGCGTCTCCATGGTTTTGCTTTGTCAAACCTAATGGGACGTTGTGGTGGGTGCAGGACTTGCAGCGGTTGAACGCTGTGACTCTGCGAGATGCGGGGGGCTTGCCAAACGCCGATGCACTGTCAGAATCATGTGCTGGGAGGCCAATAATTTCGCTTATAAACCTCTACTCCGCATATGACCAGTTTCCGGTCTATCCGCCACACAGGCCGGTGACAGCGATGCATACGTCTCGAGGACTGATCCACATGAATGTGGCTCCGCAAGGATGGACTGATGCGGTGATAATGGTTCAGCGACATATAATTCGAGGCATGCAGTCAGTCAGCCCGCATATCACTCAACCATATACCGACTGGCGACAAAAGGGTCGAGAGAGAAGGAGAGTGGCGAGGTTTTGCCGGGAGTAAGACGTTTTGTCTGGAAGCATGTTCATGATTTTGATAAAGTCCTGAGTTTGCTTGAAGAGCACAACCTTACGGCAAGTGGTGCCAAGTCTAGACACTGCATGAGGGAGGTTACCCTCCTGGGGTTCGTCTGTAGCGAGAGTGGCCATCGGCCAGATGTAAAGAAGACGGACAAAATTGTTGAATGACCAATACCATTCCACTCGATAACAGATGGTAGAAGTTTCCTCAGCACGTGTGGGTTTTGGAGAACCTTCGTCAAGAATTTTGTTTCCAAGACTGAACATTTGAGGAAGTTGGTTCTTCAGGATTACGAATGGGTATGGGGTGAAGAGCAGGAGAAGACGCTGGCGAAAATGAAGGAAGAGTTTCGAGAAGGATGGTTGGTATTGGGAGCACTGGACTATGAGGCCGTAGAGGTGAGGCCATTCATCGTTGAGACAGATGCTGGACCGACTGCCTTAGAGGGAGTCCTGATTCAGGCAGATATCGAGGGGAAGGAGGGACCACTAAGGTTCGAGAGCCGAACTCTTTGTACGACCGAGAGAAATTATTTTGAGTTTAAGAGGGAGACTCTAGCTGTCCTCAACTGCCTGAGGATTTTTCAAAACTATATCTTTGGCAGAAGGTTCATATTGAGGGTGGACCCAACTGCGCTCACTTATTCACTGAGAAATTACGTTCCATCAGATCCAACTGTCGTCAGATGGCTAACGTACATCTGGATGTTTAATTTCGAATTGGAACGGATTCCAGAGAATAAGAATAGAGCAGATGGGCCAAGTCGCATGAACTGGGATAAGCAAAAGGGAGGGGCAGTAGAGGACACGCCCCCAGTTGATGGCTTATTGGATCAGGAGGAAGGCGTCCGCCTTCATACTAATAACTGGTCCTTGCGAGTGTCGAGTTGCGTTGGCCATCCCATTTGGCTTGCACCCAGAGGGTATGAGCAGAAGACAGAACTCGTGCTCAAGCCTTTTGAGGAGGAGGACTCATGGGGCGACAAAGGTGTCCAATGGATAATGAAGTTGGCGTTGGCAAGCATGCATAGTCTGGTGGAGGAAGTAAGAACAATAGAGGAAGGGTCAGATCAAGGTGAAAAGCACGAGGAGGTGATGGGGGAAATGTACCTTCTCGTCAATACGCTTCTGCAGGGGAATTTTGATCAAGTAAACTCGCTGAATCCGACTGAGAATGAAGATATTGTGCCGGGGAGCCAGGATGACGAGTCTGAGGAATGGAAGATCAAAGAAGCATTCCGTGCAGAGGAGTATGATGGGATCTACCTGGAGCTGGGACTTCTCTTATCGTGTGAAATGCGGGATAGGAATGCTAGTGAAAAAGCTCAAAAGATAAGGCATCTCTACCTGGTGAGAGATGATCATCTCTTTGTAAAGAGGCGAGCAGGGCACCCCAACAGGGTTGTATGCGGGAGGAACCGTCAGATCGACGTTATAGCCGCGCTTTATGATGGCATTGCAGGAAGGCATCGAGGAGTTAGTGCCACGTATGCCAAAATAAGCGAGCTATACTATTGGGACAAGATGATGGAGATGATCAACAAGTTTTGTCGTTCCTGTATACCTTGTCAAGAAAGGGCTCCTCAGAGGCCAGAAGAGTCGCTGCATCCAAGGTTAGAGAGGGAAGTGGGTGTCGCAGTACATCTTGACTTACTGTTTATGTCGATTGGGGATCATGGCTACAATTACATCTTCGATGCGCGAGACAACCTTTCTGGCTTTGTAGACAGTTGCGTCATTCGTACAAAGACCGACTCAGTGTTGGTAAGCTACATCGAGAAGTACTACCTGCATTATCCCTTCGTCAAGGAATTCGTGATGGATAGGGTCAGAGTTTACTTGCCAAGAGGTGCAAGAGTTGTTGTCAGGATACGGCGTGGTAGCCAATTATACCACGGCGGCACATCCCCAAGCAAATGCTCCGGTCGAGAGGGGGCATAGCACCAACACGAATCTTTTGGCTAAGTGGACTGAAGGTAGGCCTAATCAGTGGCCAAGGTACCTGAGAGCGACATTTTTCGTCGAGAATGTTACAGTGAAGAGAATCACTAAGTACGCTTCAACCACACTATGGTACGTAAGGCATGATACTTTCCCAATTGAGAGCTTCCTGAAAACTTGGAGACGTCAAGACTTAGAAACCAACTCGTCCTTCGAGGAGTTGCTCGATATTCGAGCGCGATAGGTGGGTGCCATTGAGGAGAGGATTCAGGAGGCGTTCAATCAAGTGGAGAAGAGTCGCATGGATGACAAGGCTCGTTGGGACCAGTTGGCCTGCGTATGAAGGGTACCATTGAAAGTTGGGGATGTAGTGCTGCTATATGACTCGTCCCTAGAGAAGCAGTGGTCTAGTAAACTCGAGAAAAAGGTGGTTAGGACCCTACAAGATTGTGCGATGCGGGGATTTCAGCGCCTACCAGATTGAGGAGCTGGATGAGACATAATGGAAGGATTGGGTATCAGGAAAGAGGCTGGAAAAGTTTGTGGCAAGAGAAGAGGTGAGACAGACGATCTAACTCCTTTGGTAGAACCTTATGTATGTAGAAAATGTCTGTAGTTAGGTCCTAGAAAAGACATGAGGTAATACAATGTGTGAGTACGATGTGTGCATGCCTTTTGATCTGAGTGAACCCTGTCTGCCTGTTTGCTTATCCCTGTGGTGTGCCTATCGTCTCCTTCGCCTGTTGTGCAGGTCTGACTTTTCGAAGATAGCCTGCCGAGAGGAGGGGGGGAGACGTGGCCACCACGGAGGGCATTTAAAGCATCAAGGGGTTACAAGCGACATGGGTCTCACCGGAGGGAGCACACGCCCGTGTATGACGACGGGGATATAAAGCTCTTCCTGGACGAGTTCCAAGGGCACGCGGAGCACATGGGGTGGACGGTGGCACAGAGGATAAATAGGTTGAGGGGAGTTGGCCGATTTGAGGAGCCCATCGCGTAGGTCCGTAGGGAGGCGAGGACCTGGCCAGAGGTGGAGATGAGGATGTAGGAGTTGAGACCGTCACCCGTGGGACCAGACGGCGTGCCGATCCGCCTAGAGATTGGGAATGTGGAGGAGTTCATCCCTGCCTTTAAGCATTTCATGCACGAGCAGAACATATTGAGGGATGAGTGGGCGCGGACACTACCTCTATGGACCAAGAAGGCAGAGAAACCATTGGCCCGTCAGATCAGGGATATGGCTCGGGGCTGGGAGAGCTGCAGGGCACACCTGAGGGAGACCTTTTAATGACCAGAGCCACCACATCCTAGGGTCGAGAGGCGGCAAAGGAGCAAGAGGCAGAGGGACCCTGAGCCCAGGGACGCCATGCCATCTCGAGGAGGACGGAAGGCACTCGCTAGGCGGGAGGAGGAGTCAGTACCTGAGGCTGAGGGGCGAGGAGCATATCCTGAGTGCGGACTTGGCCCGGTGGTTTTTCATCGTTTCACTGGAGGGGGATTGAGAGGATCCCCTCAGCATGAGCGAGAGGAGGTGCCTCCACCTGGAGGAGTATTGCAAGTGTTAGAGACACACCTGGACATTTCGCGATGGAGGGTGCCTCACACTGACGAGAGGCGCGATGATCCAGCTGGAGGTGTACCACGAGAGGAGGTCCATGAGCCAGTGCGAGAGGCGGAACGAGGTGCTCAGGGAAGACGAGTAATAGAGGAGGTGATAAACGTTGGAGAGGATACTCCGCCTCAGACGCTGACTCCAGAAACTGGACCTAAGATAATGCCAGATGTCGCATAGGAGACAGGGGAGGAGCTCCAGCAAGGAGAGGCTCCACCACCTCCCCCGGATGCGGCCCTTTCCCCAGGGGTGAGGGTAGAGATGGAACGAGAGAGGACTGGTTAGAGGAGAGAAACCCTTTCTACGATTGATAGGTATCCGGCTGCACATGCTCAGGAGCACCCTAACATTGAGAGACCTATGGAGCCACCACGGGAGCCACACCAGGCAGAGAGAGAGGCATTGGCCGAGATTCCAGAGAGAGAGGACCATCGCACCAGAGGGAGAGCGTCGGCAGGTGAGATGGCAGAGGAGAGAACGGCCAGGGTCGGGAAGCGCGTAGAGGAGATTTGGGAGGAGAGGCAGAGATTGGAGGCGGCAGGGGCACTCCCAGATCAGCCACCTGACGCGCCCCCTAGACCATGTGGAGTCAGGGAGATGTGGGATGAGTTTTGGGGTATGTATGACGAGGGGTTGGCGGCTCCAAAGAGGGCAGGACTCGGGACATCGAGGACGGCGGATGAGTACCTGGACCGTAAGATCCGCTTCCTGGCCAAAACTTCTTTCAATAGGTATCTGATGTTGGAAGACGATCTGGCCAGAAAAAAAACGAAGGAAGTGAGTCATGGAGTGTGTTTGGAGGCAGTTGAGGCAGTGGTCCGAGAGCTCAGGGCGTTGGTGACTAGTCAAGCTGCCATTATCCAGGACTTGAGGCAGCAGCCTCTAGACATGGCGACCAGGATGGAGAGGGAGGCCGCCTACCGGAAGGGGGATTGAACTGAAAGTAGACGTTATGACATCGAGAGTGAGGCAGTGCAGGATTTATATGGTCCACCATCTATGGCGGGTCCATCCCAAGAGCCATCCATTGGAAAGGTCATCCTGGAGCCAGAGGAGGCAAAGACGAAGAGGGAGGCAGAAAAGGAAGCCTTTGAGTTCCAGACTCCTACAAATTTTGCCACCCAACCTATAGCTTCTTTTGGGCTAGCGGCAGATTATCTGTCAGTATAAGCAGGAGATAGGCCGGAGACGAGCTGGCACTTGGATCTGACGAGGGGTCCATGAATATACTCCTTCAGGCAGTCGACGCAATGCAGGAAGAGGCGAGTCTGTTTTCGCCTGAGCAGAGGGTGGAGGAGTCTCAAGAGGGAGAGACAGTGGTTGCGATGGAGGATGTCATTGAGGGCAGGCCACAAAGGTTAGATTCACCTGAGTACAGGCCTTAGGGAGTTGGAATACGGGTAGAGTCGAGGACTCAGGAGTTGGAAACTAGACATGAGGAGCCTATGGGTATGCCCCAATACCATGAGGTGGCCAGGGAGGCTAGTAAGGCACCCTCATTACCAGGATCTCGGAAGAAAAAGAAGAGGGGCCGCAAATCCGGAGACTTATTCTGCTTCTTCTGCAAGGACGAGAGCATAGGGCCTTGCAGTGTCCTAAGTTCCTGAAGGATAAGGCAGCAGGGAAGGTTACTGAGAGTGGTGAGAGGATGTTTGACACACAGGGTAGAGTGGTGGAGCGGATTGCCGATGGGGGTAGGGCTCAGTTATACAGGCAGAACCAGGAGGAGATGAGTGAGTAGGGATTGGTTCGCCTATGTATCGATAACCACTATGACATAGCGAGATTCAGTGAAGTGTGCATTCTCGGTCAGATATTAGTTTTTATTTTTGTTCTGCCAGAAGTTTGAGTACCTACACTATTTGATGTATATATAGGGGAATACAACATATAGTTGCCATTGAGGCTCTCGTGAAATCTCATGTGTATGTTGAGGTTACTCTTTCTTTAACTCATTGAGAGGAGGATTCGGTTCCTCTTCCAAGACGTTCTTGGCAATACGGCCAGTCCTGTACCATATTTAGGAGGGTTTTGTTTGGTCCGAGTGAGTTACGGATCTGGACTATTACTTGTGCGTTTGGATGAGATATTTCATTCCTGAGTGTATATTGAGTTGAGATTTTATCCGAGACTACTCCTTATATATGATGATCGCAATCACTCTCACATGTGTGCTTTTATCCTGATGTATGATGACGTTGCGTGAAGGATGTATGAGAAAACATCTTGTATGTTATGTATATTGTGAATGTGAATGGATGAGAACTACCCGCTCTTCGGTATGCTTGTGCGATCTGCCTATGAGCGGATGATAGGGTCAGGTATAAGGAGAAGGAGTGCAGTCTGTTTTCGTGAAAGAGTGTGAGAGTCCTAAGGGATTTATGAGTCTTTGAGACTCAAACGTTTTACCATGCCGAATGTTTATTGTTGAGTTGTGATGAGGTCTCATAAGTTGGTCTCTCAGTTGAGTTGTTTTATGGTAGAGACGCCTTTGAGCGGGAAGGCAGTCTTTTGTTTATTTGGAGACTCATCTTCAGAGAGGGAAGATGTTTTAAAGAAAGGTCGCGTGAGAGTTCATCCTAGAAAGAGAATGGATGACTGAGAGGCCTATTGAGAGAGACCTCCTTCGTAAGAAAGGTGGTTAATATATTTAATGACATGGAAAACTGATTTTGAATGATAAGACAGACGAGAAAAACCACGTTTTTGTTTGGCCATTGGTGAAATTTTGGAGGTCGCAAAAATAATTTATTTGGGAGATGTCGTTGAGATGTGACTTTCTTGCTCTGATCAAGTTGGGAGGTCACGGCCTTGTGAATCTGGCGGTGATTCTGTTTTGTGAAGTGGAGAGGTTGTTGTGCTCTCTGTATTGTCTCACAGAGGGTTGGTAAATGTCTTTTATGTGTGACAAACCTTTGCATAGTCCCGCAGTAGGCCTGTATTGTTGCGACATACCGATCAGCCACTTGTGTTAATCTTACGACGTTTATGAGAACACCAAGCTAACGGTAAAGTTTAGCATCACTAGGGCGCAACCCGTAGTGTCGGCTGCTGATCGGCATAACCTGAACAGCGGGCCTACATCTGGCCAAGGGAGTAAAAACTTCAAGAGGTGTGGCCACCTAGGAGGGTTTTACTCCTACGAGACGACGTAGGATAATATTCGAGTCTTTTTTAGTCCTGATTGAATGCTTATCATGAGAAAGTCTATCGTGGCGCAACCTGCGAGGGCACTACCGCTAAAATAACAATGTGGAGGGCCGTAGATCTGGCTCGATCAACCAGACTATGGTGGACCAAGATGGAGACTTGATTTTCTTCCTCTACTAGACTGCAGGAAGAGTCTAAGATAAAATTTATGTATATATATATGTTTGAGTGATAATTATTGGAGAGAGGCAAGAGTGTCTTCAAAGGTCTCGGTTAGGGCCCGCGTCCCTAGTTATCGCTCTGCTAGTAGGATAGAGACTAGGGACACCTAACGAGCAGCCGACGTTTGTCTAGGACAAAGGGGGAGGATAGTGAGAAATTCACTGGCTACACAAGTAGAGTGACATTGGTGCGGCCAATGTATCACCACGTGTTCATGTGTGTGTGAGAGATTTCGTAAAATCTGTACTCGCGTGGGGTACTCTCAGGCATGCATAAGAGCCAGACCAACCATGCGGCTGTGGTGTGTGTGTGTGAATGAATGTGCATGGGTGTGTGTAAAACCGAAGAATGGATATGCAGGTGTGTCCAGGCGTGTGTGTGAGGGGTTTTGAGTAAAGCGGTTTGTTGTCACCAGTAAGAGTTGTCTAACTCGGTGATGGGCCAGCAGCGAACGCGGCAGGCGGCCTCGAAAGGGCTGAATGGGGGGGGGCACTTTGAGAGGGCCGCATTTGCAGGTTTGTGAACCTTGGTGGGTGGCTTGGTCTACTCAGGCTCGTATGGACTCCTCTTCAGGTACGGAACAACGAAAAACATGAGAAAGGGGGCTGACCGTGGTGAAATGAGCGACCAGACAAGGAGAAATTGCATCGAGGGAGAGAGACGGGGGAATACCGAGTGGAGGGGACAGGCAGGTGCAGAAGAAAGCGCACAGTGGGGGGGAAAACAAAACCAAACCACCTGACCCACCATGTGGTCACACTAAGACTTTCTCAGCAGAGATCTGACCGTTGAGACGCGGGCGACCAGATGAAAAGGAAGGGTGTGGACTCGCTGTAAAGCTGGTAAAGGGATGTACCTAGCCTAGAGAAGGGGATGGGTGCAGACGAGGGAGGAGAGGAGAAGCAGAGAAACGCTGGCGGGAAAGGAAGCATGCACATACGGGAGACAGTTCTTGATAACTGCCTCACGGAGTAGCCATATGGCAGA